TGATCATTACCAAAGAGTTAGTAGTCTTGAATAATGCCTTTTCCACACTTTAAATTTTATTTGGTTTTAAATTAATCAAATTTTGGAACTTGGTTTTTATTTTATGGTTTGTTATTTAACATTTAATAAAAAACTTATTGTATTGAAGTTTTTTTTAATATCTACTTCTTAATTTTACTTAAAATTAAACTTAGTATCCGGTTAATTCTGCGGAGCAGTGTAGGTATTGACGATTACTTAACGTAAGTAGACTTAACGGTAAGCAACAACATACACAGTTGTATGTATTAAACTTTGCCTACGTTCAGGAGCATATATGTTTTTATTGTAAGATAAAAATTGCTGCTGCAAGATAAGAAAAGTGACGAGGTACTTCTTTAATGAATCTTTATCACACATAAATATTCTGTTAACGGATTATGTTCGATATAGTTTGAAAACTTGTATGCTAAATTTATTTTTCAAATCACTCTTGCATAGTATCTTTTAAAAAATAATCTGAAGCCAATTCCAATCACTATAAACTTTGGAAAATCATAAAAGGTATTAAAATGTCATGAATTTTCCCCAAAACGGTTTTAAGAATGACTGTAGTTATAACTTGCAAGATATTTTTGTTCAAAACAGATTTAAAATATATCAATCTAATGCGAAAATAATAGTACTACCTAGTGCGTTATTTAAGCACACTTTGTGTGCTTAATATGTGGTTTTATAAAAAATAAGTCCCAGAATCTAAATATTTCTCGAACTACATGACTGCTGCAAAGGTGCGACTAGTATTTTTAGGGAAAATAGTAAACTTAACTCTACTATATCATAAATAAAGATTCATTTGTTTTATAATTTCCAATATGTCTCTCCAATATGTCGAATCTATAATAACATAACATAACATAACAATATCTTTATTTTTAGAAAATAATATACATTCCGTGAACATAAAATTATTTAAAAAAAACAGTGTCATAAACGAAAATATTATTTACTTATTCCTAACCGTTACATATACAAATAGTCCTCCACAGAATATGGCTCAAGAGCTACCAGTAATTTAAATATTTGATGTTTATACAAACTTAATCTTTCCTACCTTTTAATAGGTTCAGGCAGTTTATTAAACAATTTGATGCAGCAATAAAGAGCGTTTTTTTTGTTATACTTAACCTGTGTATTGGAATTTTATAATTATATAACCTGGTATTTACTATACTATTGGGCTCAAAGTTCCTAAAGAGTATTTTATTTTTATATAGAAACAGTAAGCATTCTTGAATAAATACAGCGTAAACTGTTAAAATATTATTACTCCTAATATGCCCTCTACATGATTCCCTACTTTTTAAGTGAAACATAACTCTGATTATTTTTTTCTGAACCAATTATTTATGTCCTTACTGTGGCCAAAATTTATTAGACCATATCTAAATTTTGCTTCAAAATTAGCATGATACACTGTTTTTAATGAGTTACTATTCATGTATTTTTTTAGAACTCTAAAGCTGTAAATCACTTTACTCAAAGACATACATAACTGGTCAACATGTTTATCCCAACATATGTCAATAATGTCTCCTATTTGCCAAGTAGGACTTAAACCAGTTCAATGCTGGTCCACGTATACCATATTTCTCCAATTTATCAAATAATATGTCATGTACTAAACAGTCATATGCCTTTGATAGGTCCAAAAAGAGACCCAAAGCCATATGACTAATCTCAGTACATTTCAAAATATCCCAGACAAATTGAAAAATCGCAGTCTGAGTTGATTTTCCCTGTTGACAACCATGCAGATTTGCACTAATAATATGACATTTTGTTAAAAATTCTGTTATCCGCCCATACATAGTCATTTCTAAGATTTTTGAAAAGGAACATAGAAGGCTTATTGGTCTATAGTTATTAATTAATTTAGGATCACCCTTTTTGTAAACAGGTGTTACTATGGCAGTTTTCAGGCATTCAGGAAATACACCAGATTTTAGTGAATTATTTATGATTGTAGTGAGAGGATTCACTATCTCCTTTATACAAAGTTTAAGAATTTTAGTGGGTATTTCATCAATTCCACAACTCATTTTGTTTTTTAAAATTTTTAGTTGTATCACTAATTTTCAGTTTCTGTGACAGGTGCGGCAAACATTGAATTTATGTTACTTGCAATGTTGTCTTTATATTCAATGTATTGTAATTGAGATAAAGTATTGAGATAAAGTGTTATTTAAAAAAGTATTTAAGTATCATGTATTTATCAGCAATCTCTTGAGGACTACCCTCTACTTTTATTGAATTTACACTTTTTAATTGACCATTAATTTCACTAACAATTTGCCACATGCATTTATTTTTGTTGGCAGCTTCAGACATCCTGTTTTCATATAGCTTTGATCGTTTTGTTATTAGTTTCTTATTATATTCTTTTTTTACCTGTCTTTAGGAATCATAGAATTTATGGTTAACTCTGCTCATTGTAAACAAGATGTCTAAACGAGTCTTACATTCTATTATCTTTGGATCATCTCTTTTATTAAGGCCTTTTTTACGTTGCCTAGAATCTAACTTTTTAAAAGGAATGCACTGATTGAATATATACAGAAACTGATTTAAGAAAGTATTCCATTGATCATTTACACATTTGTAACTTAAATTAAGCCAGTCATTATTATGTAATTTACTTATAAAGGTTTCAATATTATTTGTACTAAAATGTGTTTTCATTTCAAGAGTATTCGTTTCTGCTTCCTCTACCTGAAAAGTTAATTTTTGGGCAGAATGATCAGAGATTCCAGCGTGCAAGACCTCTACTGACACATATGATTGCATATTTGTTAGTATGTTATCTATACAAGTTTTAGATGTGGCAGTTACTCTAGTGTAGTCTTCAATTACATGACAAGTATTATATAAGTTAATTAACATACAAAATTTTACTTTATCTAATGTGTTATTTTTAAGATCGATATTGAAATCTCCCCCTATAATTATAATTGTGTTTTCTATCATAATTCTTCCCAGTATAATATCAAATTTGTTTAAAAAAATTGCAGATACAGAAACTACTAATATCTACAGAAGGCATTGTAGATATTAGTAGTTTCACAAAGTAGTTTGCACAAAGTAGATATCGAAAACAGAAAAATTCTTGAGTAACATTCTCAGATTCTTCTTTACCATAATTGAACATTTTCCACATTTTGGCGATATTCAGGTCTGATGGTAGGTAGACACGACGTGATGAGTGATGTTATGAATAAAGCGATTCAATAGCTTTGAAACTACAGACGATTTTTCTATTTTTTTCTCTTTTTGGAGCAAACTTATTTTCCTTGTAGTTTCTGCCTCAGGTTTCCACTGGGACATAAAATACACCGTTTTTGAATTTTCGGAACAATTCACTAAATTCTATGCTTAGTAATAGGCTGCAAGACCTTGAGAAAAGCATCCCTGCAAACGTTGAGGTTGTTGCCAGCGTGATTCACTACCAAATATTGAAAGATTGTGGTTTTCTACTTTATATTCTTAAGCTTCTTTCTTTTGGGTGGGTCAGCCTGACAGTATTTCAAAATAAACTCATCTCGCTTGCTTTTTTTCTGGGATGGAGTAAAAGGCTTTGTGGAACTCCATGATATTATGCATTGTTAAAAACTGATACTCTTATCCAACTCGGTAATGACAGATGGAGTACATAGGAAGACCTTTGGCTGAGTACCTGCATGAACATACAAAAGAAAAATTTAATTAAATTTTAGTTAATTCAATGAATAGTCTATTCATTTAAGCCAATAGTCAGAATTTTCATAAGGAATCTCTCAATTTTATGAAAAACTTTAGCAAGTAGTACTAAGCTGGCCATGTTTTTACAGCCAACTTTCAAGCTTCACATTTTAAAATCAGACATTATCATATATTACGTAAAAACTATTCATAACTCGGATGAACATGTACAGTAACTTCTAACATATTAAATTTCCACCCATCTATTGACAAATTGTTAGACTAATCAAATGTTAAGTACATGTTTGAGTTCGATGATTAGACTTACCTTTGTCGTTTCTGGATGTTTTTTCTCTCTATTTTTCGAGATCGCTTTTCCTTTTACGCGTTGTCCCTGGATTGACAAATATATTTGGCTACTTGAATCTACTTTGTAAACTAATAATATGCGAAAAACTAGTTTAAGCTAGTGATAAACACAAATAAAACGATTAATATCAAACAAGTTGATTTCTCAGTCATGTGATCACAATACAGCATTCTTTTTGGCTGTTGGGGTGATGTCCGTTTTAGAAATAAACCTTTATAGCAGGTGTCCGTTTTCGAAACAGACCTTCAACTGTGAAGTTGAAAATAATGTATTTGCGTCTATGTTGGAAGGAAACTATGATCACCGTTGAAAAGAACAGGAACAATTCTATAAGAAACAAATACTAACTAAATTTTTAATTTTTTCACATATGTCTGTCTGTGATCTGAAACCACTCAAATGTTGGATTTGTTGGCAAAGTTGGAGTATAATGTCTAGAACCTCCGACACTGATTCGACTGAATCAGTGAAAACTGCGCAGAGTTTTATTACAGAGTGAAAAAGTATTTATCGTAGCATTTGTAAATATTTTTTCCTATTTGTCTGGGCAAAAATGGTGATAAATTAAAAACCATAAACCCTTGATACTTTATTTAATTTGACATTAACTTTCCTTTGTTGATTGTTTGTAATTTTTATACAATGATAACAAATCTATCTGATCACGCAAAAGCATTAAAAGCCTATAAAAACTCTATAAAAATATTCATAAACATTTATATATTCAAAAAGTTATGAATGATATTTCACCATTGCTGCAAATTTATCAAAATCAATCTATAAAAAGGAATATTGTTAAAATGAATTATTATTTATTAACAAATCTTGATAAGACCTACGTATTTTAGACAATAAAACTTTTTAACACTTTCTTTCACAACGTATTATTTATAATACTTGATAAAAAATTGTCAAAACAGATTAAACTTACCAGTAGTATCAGTTCTTTGTAATAAATTAAATAAGGTAAACAGTGATTGGTTTTTAATCGGCATACAAATAATTTTTCAATAAAGTGATTAAAAATATAAAATACTAGGTAATTATATTTATTTATTTCTAAATAATTTATTGGAAAATATCATTTTAAAAATTTTCACATTAACATTATATTTCGCGGAAAACAAACATATATACACTAGTACACTGGTTAATCCTATTGTTTACAAATATAAATATTTTTTCGTCTTTATTGGTCATATGTTATAACTAATTTAATTGATAGTATTTTCAATTTTTAATATATTTATTATAAACTCATATTTAAATTAAGCAGCATTGAAAGGGGGCAAAATATTGCAAAGCCGTAATTACATTTACTTAACCCTCCGTTAGGCACATGGGTAAACTGAGACACGGTTTTATATTATTAAACATAAAAGTTTCATAATTTCAATAATAATACTGCATTAGGTATATTTGCTGAATTTTTGTGAATGATACTGACCAATTTTTATAATCAAAGGTTTACTTATTTCTTTCATTATCCTCATCAGTAGCTCGACAACCCTTCCTAGCTCCTGACTTTTTCTAGGATTTTCCGTTATCTGTTCCTTGCTTTGATTTTTCAGTTGGTAATCTTAAAAGTTTTCAAATTATGTTTCACTTATTCCTTGTATCTGCATTGGGTCTTCCGTTTGACCTTCTCCCTACGGCTGTTTTCCTTATTATATGATTTGGTGTTTCAGTCTCAAACATCCGTTCAACATTGCCTATCCAGCGCCGAGTCCGATCTTTATGGATGTTCTCGGGTTCATTTTATGCTGTGTATAGTTCAAAATTATATCTTCTACGCCATACGTCATTTTCATTCACCCACTTATACACGTGTCTAAGAATCAAATGTACCTAATAGGTTCTCATCGCTTTTCGACAGTGTCCATGTCTCTGATCCATATACAAGGACCGATTTTATCAGGGTTAACTCCATATCTAAAATTTTTCACGCTTTCAATGTTACAGTCTTCTATTGCCAGATTCTGTAGGTTCCTTTGGCCTGTCGATGTGCCGGCCTTCATGTATTTGGTTTTTATTTCATTTATGTTTAGGCCACTATTTTGTGTCGCTCTTTCTATCGCATTAAATTCTTCCATCATCTCTCTTTCCCTTCTAACTATGATATCAACATCATCTGCAAATTCTAATATTTGTACACTTTGGTTAATATTATCCCTCTGTTATTGACTTTTAATTCTCTAGTTATTTTTTTAACGTGATGTTGAATAGAATACAAGATAGGGCATCTCCCTGTTGTAGGTCCATTCTCACATGGACTGCATCTGTTAGTGCGTTTTGAATTCGAACTTTGCTTTGTACTTTAAGTGTTTCTTTTACTATATCAATGAGTTGAGTTAAAATATTAAACTCTTTCAGTGCATGGATCAGAAACTCTCGATGGATGCTATTATAGGCACTCTCAAAATCAATGAAAATATGATGTGTCTCTTCACTAGTCTTTTCCAAAATTTGCCTCAAGACGAAAATCTGATCTATTGTGGACCCTGTATGGTCTGAATTGGTCATATAAAATATTTGACAATATTTTATATGCCACAGTTAGTAGCGTTATTGTCCGATAGTTTTTACATTGAAGCTGATCTCCCTTTTTATTTAGTGGAATAATTACTCTGGTTTTCCAGTTTTGTGGCAGTTGTTTATTATTCCATATGTTCAGTATTAGTTCGTGTATCGCATTCAATAGGAAGTCTCCGTTTTCCTTTATTAATTCTGCACTAATGTTGTCTAACCCAGGTGACTTGTTGTTTTTTAGTCTAGTAACTGATTCTTGCACTTCAGCTACTAAAGGGGGGTTGTTTCTTTGGTATCTGTTTGATTCAGTATAATTCCATCATATAGTAGATCTTCGTTTTTTTTTAATTTTCTTTGAAGAATTCTGCCTATCTTTGCAGTATTTCACTTTGTTGAGTTACTATATCTTTTTCTTTGTCTTAACACATCATTATTCTTGATTTAAATTCTTTTCTACTTTTGTTAAGTTTCTGGTAGAATTTTCTGGTTTCTGATGATTTATTTAGTTCTTTCATTTCTTCGAGTTCTTTTTCTATGTACTTTTTTCTTTCTGCGATGTATTTTCTTCTCTTCCCTTCTTAGCATTCTATATTCCTCCTTTGCCTTTCGTGTTCTATGTCGTTGTTGTAGTCAACTCTTCATCGAACCACTGTCCTTCAATTGCTTTGAGCTTTTTTTTGTAGACCCAGGATCTCTTTGGCCGCATCTTGTCTGATGTTTTTACACGATTTTCATTCTCTGTTAATATCCTTGTGCTCTAGCCTTCCTTTTATATATTCTTTGTATTTTGCCTTTTTGCTGTTTTCTTGCCTTTTGTCTGCTAAGTTTTTTATTTCATATGTTTTAATTTTGGATCCTTATTTTTTAATGTTTGAGATTCTGGCTCTTATTCTACTGTCCACTAGGTAGTGATCCGAGTCTGCATTTGCCCTTCGTCGGCTACATACGTTTAATACGTCTGAGTAATGTTTAGAGTCAATAATAACATGATCGATCATGTTCAGTGTAACCCCATCTGGAGATCTCCACGTTTCGTCATGAATATTTTTTCGCTAGAAACGTGCTGACAATGACCATGTTAAGGGAAGTTGCTAGATTTATTAGTCTGATGCCATTGTTATCGGATACCTCATGAAGGCTGTGCTTACCTATAGTTGGTAGGTATTGTTGCTCTTTTTCTATGTTTGCGTTGAGATCACAATAAATAATTTTGATGTCATTCTTTGGGCATTAATGGTATGCAACTTCTAGTTCTTCATAGAATTTTTCTTTGACATTGTCTTCCTTTTTCTCTGTAGAGGCATGCACATTTAAAATGCTATAATTAAAAAATGTTCCTCTTAGTCATAGCACAAAAGTCTCTTACAAGGTGTTTAACCTTTTTATTTAAAAGGAAGTCAGTACCTAGTGCGTGGTCTTTGCCGTCGCAACTATAGAATATAATATGGTGTCTTTTGTCAATGGTGCCACTCCCGATCTATCCCATTTCCTGCAGAGCTCTTATATATATATATGTCATATCTATTCAGTTCACTGAGCAAATTTTGGAGGGCTCTCCAAATCATGTATCTTTTCTACCTTATTTCTTTACTAGACAATAAAATTACATATATTTTAAAACTTATATTAACCATTAATATATCGTAGACCGAGGTGGTCTACGATTGTAGACCACGTGCCTAACGAAGAGTAAATCCCAGTTGTTACAGTAATACTGCTGACACTCGGTTGTGAAAGCCTCGTTTATTATATGACAGGCAGTGCCAGATAACAAGTTATAACTCATGTAGTTGGGGTTGAAATTTGGGTAGGAGAAGCTATTTTAGATGCATCCTACCCCATTAACTCCCCTCGTTTCAAATTATTTATCTTTCTGCATTGATTAAGAATACATAATATTCAGTATACATATAATTGTTTCTGCTAGTTGATCGAGATCAAAGGAAAGACGTCTTTGCTGTATTTATTGACTATGAAAAGGCCTTTGATCGAGTACAGCATCACAAATTAATTACAATATTAAAAGATAAAGGAGTTGATAGTCAAGACATCAAAGTTATACTGGCGTCAAACAGCGACAGCTTGCATAAACGGAAAATCAACAGAAATATGTAAAATACAAAGAGGTGTCAGACAGGGTCGTATACTATCCCCACTGTTATTTAATTTATATTCAGATAGAATATTTAAAGAAGCGCTGCAGAATTTGGAATGGGGGGTGAAAGTTAATGGAATTCTGATAAATACAATCAGATATGCAGACGATACAGTTATTTTAAGTGATGACATAAATGGATTACAATGCCTTTTAAATGCCATTGATACAGTGGAAAGAGAGTTTGGCCTAAAAATAAACTGTTCAAAAAAAAACACATGGTGTTTAGCCGTTTAGCACATCAAGATGCACGATTATATGTTGATGGTCATATAATTCAAAGAGTGGTCAGTTTCAAATATCTTGGTTCCCATATTACTGAACAACTAGATCCAGATCAAGAGATAAAATGTAGAATCGAGATAGCCCGCACGACATTTTTAAAAATGAGGTCATTCTTCTGTAATAATAGCTTGCAACTTCAACTTCGAAAGCGCATAATTAAATGCTACATTTGGTCAGTCTTCTTATACGATGTCGAAGCATGGACAATAAAAATATCCACCATTAATCGTCTGGAGGCCTTTGAAATGTGGCTGCAGAGACGTATACTAAAAATTCCATGGGCGGCTATGCTGACAAATGTGGCAGTCCTTGAGAGAGCAAATGCTGCTCGCGAGCTGCTTGATAACATTAAATGTAGAAAGATGGCCTATTTTGGATAGGTAGTAAGGGGAGACCGATATAATATTCTTCAACTTATTATGATAAGTAAAATCGAAGGCCGCAGAGGAATTGGTAGAAAGCAGGACTCTTGGTTGAAGAATATCAGGGAGTGGACAGGAATAAAGAAAGCTGAGCAACTATTTAGAATAGCTCGAAACAGAGACAGTTTCACCATGTTAATCGCCAACGTCAAGGGGACTTGATAGGGCACGTTAAGAAGAAGAAGAAGTTGATAGTGATCAGAATAAATCTCACTGCCTCGGTATACTAAAATATTTTCCAAAAGAAATAAAACTACTTCTTATTATCCAACTTATTTTTAAGAACAGAGTATTAAGTACTGCTTAAGCTAAAATTACACAGCCACTGAAAATATTACCATAATTAATAAATAAAATTTGCAAAAATAATTATCATGTATCGGTTAGATATTAGATTAGACTTTCTAATTTTAATCGTTATGTGAATTAATGCAAATAGAAGTTGATAATGTGTTTTTGACCCCAACAAATCTGCACACCATATTTAACTTAACTGTAACATTGTTTATATTCAATACATTTCAGAAGTTTATCAACTGAATTTATCAATTGATAACATACAGCATAACCGACCGACGAATTTGACTTTCAAGGTATTTTGTTTGTAATTATGATGGTATCAAATTTGTCGATTACGAAATAATAAGA